AAAGTACGGACGACTAAGAAATAATTAAGAGGGCAGATTTGAAGTTCAATTGCTAGTTTGTTTGCAAATAAGTTTCATAAAAATTTATTGCACAGGAGTGCGATCATTTTTTGAATGGCTTCTTCCCGATGGCAATAGAATCGAAGATGCACAGACTATCAAACTCTTTTCTACAATCCAGGTACAATTTTTAATAGAAAAATGTTGCCGTTAGAGCTTGTAATCGGAAGAAAATTACAGGTTTTCACCGCCTGTTTTGCTGGCTTCGCACATGGAGCAAACGATGTAGGGTGAGGATTTTCCTTTGAAAACCTCCCTAAATCTCACTCCTATGATGTTCTTTAATGTGAATTTCTAAGTGCTTACTTGTATGATTCTCTTTAGCAATGCGATTGCACCTCTAACTGCTCTCGTGGCAATCTACAGAGACAAAAACGCTAGACAAGAAGGAGAAGTGGGATTTATTGTAAACCTTCGAAATGCTCTGATTGAAAACGAAAGTTAAGGTCCCCATATACATCCTTCTTTACGGAGTGCTTGCCATTTGTGTCGGACTTTGGACCCTGGGCCACCGAGTCATCCGAACAGTTGGAACGAATATGTCCGAAATCAATCCTGCAACGTAGGTGCTCCGCTCTTTAACTCTATTTAAGCTCTCACTCATTCAGGCAATGTAGGAATGATTGAAATAGTAGGAAGCAGCTTTTAATCCGTGCTTCGACATCATTAGAAAAGAACTGATCGCGGCTGCTCCAGAAACATCTTCAGATTTTGAGTAAAGAGCGAGAAAAAAAAGCTAAAACTACATAAATTTACACGAAAATCTGCTGTAAAAGTTTTGCACTTCGTACATGCTGTAGAAACAATATCTTGACGAATGCTAAGACATATGTCTGAAGTGGAGGAAGAGAAGAAGACAGTATCAGCTACAATTTGAGTACTATGAATTCATTGCTTGGCAGGAATTGCATCATTATCGTGAGCACGAAGAATAAACTAATCCAGCTTTTTT